GCCCTCTCCACATCCTGTGGCAGTGAGTTCCACAAGCTATTCATGCACTGGGTGATGATGGGCCTTCTTTTGTCTTTCTAAACCTTCTAAGCAGCTTCACGACATGAACCTGGTCCCCATATCTGGAGAGCTTCTCCCTGTCCACTTTCTCCAGGCCGGGCATAAAACTACACAACTGGATTGTTGTCCTTTTCCTCAGGAAACAAAGTCATGCAAAGGCGTCAAGAACCAGACTGAGAAGGATGACCCTCACCCCCGCCCACCAAACTCTACATTCAGTGAAATCATTCCCCTTGGCCCTTTCACTCATTTGAAAAATATAAAATATTTACCCATACCAAAGACCTTGTGATCGGTATAACTGTTATGCATGAATCGTTTTAATCAGTGTACAGTATTTCCACTGCTGATTTATTTCTCTGTAGGTGAATCCCTTTTTAAAAAAAAAGTAATAAAATTATATTTTAAAAAACTGAGTAAAATCACTCAAAGATGGAAATGTCCTGCCAGCATCTTTTCTACAGTCACCAGTATCACTCCCATTGGCTCTGGAGATAACAGACAACGGTCTCCTTTCTGGTAAGGCCAATGTCCCTCCAGATCAGCATTTCTCAACCTTGGGATGCTGGCTGGGGAATTCTGGGAGTTGAAGTCCATACATCTTCAAGCTCCCAAGGTTGAGAAACGCTGCTCCAGATGGTCCAGGGAGGAATCTGACCAGCTTTGCTTCCAACCTCAGGACATTCTAGGACAAACGTGTGAATCGTTTAAAAGGATACCAAAGAGAGGGTCAAGACAAGAACAGAGGGAACTCCCAAAAGTGTGGGTTTTCTTCAATTCATCCTAGGAAACATTGCAGGAATTCAGTCCAGCTTTAATTGCACCATGGTGATCACCATCTTGACCTTTCTGACCACTCCCTGCTCCAACGTATAGCAATGAAATTTTGAAACTAGGGAAGCGCCTCTCTCTCCTTGCAAAACATAGTCCTTTGATCATTTTCATCCAGGCCGCTGCCATGAACTCTGGAACCAAACCCAGATTGTGTATCCCTACGCAACTGTTCAGGATATTGAACTGCATGCAATATTTAAAGTTGTTATCTGTTGTTAGCCGCCCAGAGTTGTTACGGCGAGACGGGCGGCCATATCAACAGAGCAAACTGTTATTGTTATTTGCCAAAGAGGAGAGCGTGGGGGCCCATCATTCTGCAAAACAAACCCAGCTCGTTCTGAACCTTTCCAGCAACCTTCCCCAGTTTGCTGGGGTGTCTGCGGGAGAGAGGTAAAAAAATAAATAAAATAAAGATGGCAGCGATGACCCCATGATCGAACGATCTTGTTGTTATGTTGTACGCATCGTGCATGGGAGGCCCGTTAAAAACGGACAACACTTTGATTATAGAATGGTAGCCGCCATCTTGACTTTTTTGACACTCCCCCCTCTGCAGAGGCCCTTCCCTGGAACCTTAAGAGTTACACACACACACACCCTGTTCAGAGTCTGCAGAGCAAAGGATTCAAAAGATGCCCGGTAAGAAATATGTCCCGCTCATTTAGAGAAAAACTAAAAGTGACTTGGATTTTGCAGCGCGTTCAAATTAAGTATCTATTTGCTCACGTGTTTAATCTTTGCCTTTGGACACCTGGCAAGTTATGGTGGGGCCGCAACTCCCACCTAGCCTGGCCCCCGGGGTGCTTTCGCAGTTCCCGGTAGAGGCTTCTGGACAGGACCTGCCCATCGATGGGAGCGAAGGAAAAGCAAAGCGAAGCAATGGGGGAATCAGCCCCACTGGGACAGCCCTGGGAATGCTCCGGCGCATGGACTCTGCGCTGCGGTAGGTGTGGTCCTTGCCGATGATGCAAGAGAGCGCAATCGGCTGTGCCTCATGATGTAACGGCTTCCAGAGGGGGCCGGCAGCTGCTCTGACCCAGGGGCCCCTGCGCGGTATTTCCTACCTGCCCCCTGAGAATGGCGAACTGCCACATCTCCCCCAGCGGGATTGTCGTTTAGGTTCAACCTCTCTTTCACTGGGCTTAGTTTAGCTCAGCGGTGGGGTATGCCCTTCTCAGCTTTTTTGGGGACGCCGGAGGGTGTCTGAAGGGGCAACCAACTCAGCATTTTGCAACTAGCCTTAAAGACTGCCTTATTGCAGAAGCCTTGCTGAGAATCTCATGCAGTAAGAAATAGCCTTTAAGACATTGTTTCTCAACCTTGGCAACTTTAAGATGAGTGGACTTCAACTGCCAACTGCCAAGCAAAGCTGGCTGGGGAATTCTGGGAGTTGAAGTCCACTCATCTTAAAGTTGCCAAGGTTGAGAAACACTGCTCTAAGACATCACAAGACTCTTAGATGGAAAAAGGAGTTTTGGGGTTCTTGGGCACGCTTGGCACCAACTTGGGGGGGTAGTAATGGATACTTCACCTACGGTTCGACCTGCCATCCCCTGGGCCAAGTTTGCAATCTCTCTCCAGGGATGGCCTTCCTTTGGGCACCACTGACACCGGGCCGGGCTCCCTTGCAGGTCCATCTGCTTTTCCTTGCCTCTACGTCTTTCTCCCAGCATGGAAAAAAAAAAGCACCCCGGAGCAGGAGTGGAGAGCTCTATCTCCCCCCGCTCCCGGTACCAGCCAAGGGACCCCCCCCAATTCTATCGGTGATCCCCCGTAGATAAATGCAGATCATCAGCTGGTCCCATTTCTGAAAGCTTTCATTAATTCCAGCAGAATTCCAAAGTACGTCTGAAGAAAACAAAACCCTCTCCTCTTCCTTCCTTCAGCCTCACAGAAAAACTTATTTTCTTTGTGAATCTAAGCAAATGCCAGCGCATCCAAACTGCCTTCTCAGTGCCGGGGCTCTTGAGATGCATTGCACTCTAATTCCCACTGGAAAATGGAAACGCAGCCGGGGAACACGCACTCAAACCAGCACTCAAACCCGTACCTGTCTAACATTTTACTTTTCCTCCCCTTCCCTGATTAAGCACAGCAGTCCCATTTTATTTAAAGGCACAAGCAAATACTTATAGCCAAACGTTCCTAAGAGCATTAGCCACCTGGTCAATGCAGTGATGTCCTGGACTCCAATGCCCATCAATCCTAGCCAGCCCCGGGATAAGGGGAGAGGTATGCTTAGGGTAAGTGCCGAAGTCTCTTGAACTCCTTTAGCGAGTCTTATTTGCAAGACCTGGCCAGGGAGACAGGTGCCTCGAGACGCACTGGCACCTCGGCTCCCAGAATCCCCTCCAGAGGATGGACGGAGCCCGACTCAGACCTCTCTCCAGCACAGCTCCGTGGGCTTTCCAAGTTGGCCAAGGTGCTGCACGCCCTGTGCGTCAAGGCAGGGGAGTGCACAAAACCCAGGGGGCAAGGGGCTGGATCCGTATGGAAGACAAGAGCGCAGCTGGAGGGAACGAGCGTGCCTGCCCTTGCCCTGTTCCGCAGCAAGGAAGGGGATGTCACGGGGCAACCAAGTGACCCCAGATGCAATCAGGTGGAGGCCCAAGCTCCTGGAGGGACGTACTCAGGAAGACCCTGGAGAGGAGACCCAGCAGAGGGCTCGACCTACCACCTGCCAGTCTGAAGGGAAAAAAACAGGGGGAGGGAAGGGGTTGGAAGTGATCTCTGGGTGTACACACACACACACACACACACACACACAAAACCTCACAAAGAGGAGCAGTCATCTGAAGTCATTTTCCCCATCGCCTCTATCTCCCCTTCCCGGAAACAGCAGCCAGCCACAGACAAGCCCCCCCGCCAGCCCATGAGCACGTGGGTCACGCCCTCCCACTTCCCCACCTTCACCCCCCTCTTTGCTACCATAAGGCAAGGAAACCAGCAAACGGATTAAAAAAAACCTTTGTGTGTGTGTGTTAAATAGTGTTCTAGGGGTCTAAAAAAGATCCGGGGGGGGGAGCCTAGAGATCCATGGGAGGGAGGAGTGGGGGAATGACATCAAGCGCATCGTGACATCAGCGTCCAAATGATGGCCCAGCACACCAGACAGATATGTTTCAGAGGGGGGAGTTCTGATCTCTAAAGTTGAGCAAAGTTGGAAGAGTGAAAAGGAAGGCTTTAACGCCAAAGATTTCTAGGTATTATTGGCCTAGGAACCTCCATCAAAACAATTCAAAACTTTACTGTTTGGAGAGATTCTGATGGGCTTAAAATATATTTAAACCCGCTTTTAAAGAGATGCGTTCAGGGATTTTCCCTCTGAAAAATCAGTTCCAAGCGGTTGAGTGGGTGTTAACACCCACGCACACACCAGCACCCGCTCAGCCCACGAAATCGCCTTGCGGATGGTTTTCTCGACAAAACGCAGATCGGCAAAACCATAACTCATACGGGAGGGGATCCTCCCCAGCTGTGGGCTAGTCCCATTGCTCTCTGAGCAATGCACTGATTGCAAATGTGCTTCCCAAACGTGGAGAAGTTTCACAACCAGTCCTGTTCTTTCTTTCCCAGGCTTGTCATCCTGGGAAAAATGCAAACTACCCGGAAATGGGAAGGACCAGGCTCGGCTGACACCCCAGAGCAGCGGCTGGGGGGTGTTAAGGGAGCTGTCGCCAGCCGGAGGTCCCCCGTTGGGCTCTGAAGGTGCCACTGCTTCGTTTTCTGCATCAGCGTTCTTCCTACTCAGGAGAACCAGCCTGGTCCTCTTCTCCCAAAGGCGATCCCTGGCCGTCTGCCACATCCCGCCATCTAAATCGGGGCAAGACCCCAGGTGTCCTCCCTCCCAGCAGCCCCTGCGACTTGGAGCCAACCCCCTCAGAAGCCACGTGACCCGAGTTGGAAGAAAATGTGGGGAGGGGGGAGCGGGTATCTGATTCATACCCAGAGAACCTTCCCTATGACCTCACATGACCCTCCCATCTCCACGTTCTTGGCCCTGTGGCTACCCCACTTCCAGCGGCCGCAGCATCAGAAAGTGAGCTCTGACCCCTGCGGAGTCAACCTGTCCAGTCCAGAAGCCTTTCCAGGGGTCAAGGGAGCCCCTGCCAGCTCACAGCCCCCTCCCCTATTTCTTAGCCAAGCAAGGGGACCCAACCGTCCCACACTCGCTCTCTATCTCACACACCACATGCAACACCTATTTAAAAGCATAAGGGAAAAAAAAGATTTCTGCGCCTGCCACCCCCATCCTGCCCGGCTCTAGCAGAAACACACCATAAACGTTCCAAAAAACACACACCAAGAAAAAATCAGCACAGGGGCCTCACCTTGGCTGGCCCGTCCTCAGCACCCACTTGCTGTGCTTGATTGCCTGCCCAACCGGTTGGTGCCACCCTCCTTGCCTTGCTGCACACACCCTGCCCGTCTCACCTGGGGCAGGCACCCAAGCCTCAACACCTGGATTGCGCCCGAGGGACACTGTGACCAGCTGGCAGAGCCCCCACCTCCACCCTCTGCCATTTAACCTCCAGAAACAGTTTTCTCTGTCTCAACTCCTTTAGCCCTTGAACACCTGATTACCAACATCCCTCACTGGTCAAAAAGCACTCTGTATGTGCTCAGGAGCATTCCCAGCTTTCTAACTGTCTTGCATTCATCTGGGGGGAATCCTACCGTGGAAACCAGAGTCAGGGGCGCAGCCCGTGACAACCCACAAGACAGTGCCTTGTTCAACCCCCATTTGATTTGCACAGAATTCTTCTCACCCCCAGCTCCGGCCCCCCCATTCTGCCCTTCACAAAAAAGCCCTTGTGTGTGCTCAGTTGGCATGGATTTAGTTGCAAAACTTTCTTCACTCTCCCTCTGGCGGTCACCCACACCCTCCCCGAAATGCTTTAAAGTCAAGGCTGGCTGAGCAAGGAAGCTAAAGCCCCCCCCCATTTAATTGTAAACAGACCCCTTTTCCCCTCCATCCTCCACAACACAGTCTATAGCAGCTGAGTTCACCCCAACTTCTGCTGCCTCCGAAAGGTCTGCACCTCTATCTTCCCCTTCATCCATCACCTTCCTATTTCCAAGCTGGCTCCAATTACCCACAATAAGCGGGTGCCTTTCCAGAGAGAGAGATTCCCTGCCAGTCGGAAACCCACATGAAACTTTTGCCACCCAAAACTTCCTTCTTACTTCCATTCTGGCTCTCAATACTCTTGTCTCAAGCAGCTGCCCTCTGCCCCAAACCATCTACCTCCGCCTGCCACACGCACACGCACATTCGCCCCACAGAGCCCCCCCAAGACCCCCTCAAAGTCACACAGTTCAGCTCCCCCAAATGACACCATCCTCCTTGTGCCTCACAGGTTGGCTATTTCACACCCTGCCTCCACTCCGATTTTCAAAAAATTGCCATCGATCTTCGATTTGGGCAACTCTCTGAGCCTGTCCTGTCCCGACGGGGGATGGAACACGAGGAAAGTTGGAAGTTGTGCCATGAAACCAAAGCGTGGGTTTTGTAGACCGAGGCTGAGCCAGAGAACGGTCTCTTCCCAGCTGGGGAAAGGAATGAAACCAGCAGGCACCAAACACGGATCAATTTCATACCAGACCCTCCATCCAGAGCAGAATTCGTCCCCTGTTCTCCCGAGGGGACTTGGCCAGATCCGCTCCAGCTCTTAAGGAACCAGTTCAGGGTGGCCACCTGCCAGTACCTTCCACCTGATTTGTGCTGATCCTCACAACAGAGTGGTGTCCCTGGAACCTGACATCCCAACTTCCAAGGCAGCTGGTTCCCCAGCTTCTCTTCCAGGGCACCCACAGGAAAACGCCGAGGGCAGCCCGGTAGTTGTGATCCGAACAAGCCGGAAGCAGACAGCTGGTCCCAGGGTTCTGTCAACTGGTTTCTAACACGAGAGCGGCTGGGCTGATCCCAGTTTGTTGCCACGGAGACGCTGGGGCTCGACTGGCCAGAGGTAGGACTTGGTCTGTGGCCTCCCGAAGGGCCGTGGGGACAGCCCTCCGCTGCCCAGACCAGCCGATTTCCCGAGAAGGCGCAGGAGACCCATTCAAGCCAGCCGTGGCGAGGCTCGGGGCTCTGGCGAGTTCTCGCCCACCTCTGAGCCACCCACCAGCTTGGGATAGGAGCAACTCCAAAGAGTGCGAGATCCCGATTCTGCACCTCCGCCACCACCACCGCCCTGGAACTGCCGGGCACCCCGTTTGCAGCAGGCAAGCCGAGCCAGGCGGGGTAAGGGCGCCCAGCTGGAGCAGTGTCCTTCCTGCGTCCAGCCCGGGCCAGCTGGTCTGTTGTCTGTTCCTTTAAAAGCTCCCTCGTCCGGGGGCATGCGTGTGCCACTGAGACAGCGGCAGCAGCCAGCCAGCCAGCCCGCCCGCAAGGGAGGGAGGCCAGGCCTGTGCCAGACGGGTTCCTCCACCCCGTCCCTTCACTTTTCTTCCCACCCGATAACAAAGCCACGAAAAGCAGCCAGGAAGCCCTGTACGCACACACGGCTCCCCCCCCAACACAAGGCTGCCTCCCTCCCAGAGACACACACACACGGACGTCAAGCAAGATCGGCTAAGTCCAGACCCCCCAAAACTGCTTAACAAGGTAGAAAAAAGAAAAACAGGGGGAGCCAGACAGACAGCGCAGGAGAAGGAGGGGTGCAGAGAGCCAACATTACCTGCAGAAGGGGACGGCTAAGATTTGGGGGCAGAAGAGGGCTTCGTTCCTGGGGATCTCCCCTCGCCTGGCTGGGAAAAGAAAAAAAACCTGTAAATTTTCCAACCCCCCAAGGGGAAAAAGAAAAAAAAAATCAAAAGGGCAAAAAAAAAAAAAAGGCCAAGCTTGCTTCTTTGGGAGCGGACTTGGTGCCAACTAGGATAAATCCACCGAGCTCAGCCCTACGAAAGCGATCTCACTAAGTCCCTCGCACACTCGGTGGCTGGCTTGCCTTCGCTCGCTCCCCCCCCAGTCTCTACTCAAACAAAGAAATGAGGGTTGTGTTCCGTGCCCAACCCCCTCCCAGCCCCCCCTTCCCCAAGCCCAGACATATCCTC